GGCTTTCTGACAAGATGCGCGTTAAATATCGCATGCGATTTATCGTGCAGCCCTAATTATAACAAACATTAATATTAAAATTCCTGCCTGCCATTTTGAATTTAAAAAAAACCTACTTTTATATTATTCGTCCCCAGTCTTTGGTTTGATTCACACATAATGTGGTATGTAGAGTCCATCCTGACAAAATGTTCAGTAACTATAAAGTGCACCTCCAGCACTTGTGTATTTTAACACAGACTTGCTAAAGGACACCACCTGGCAACCTTCTGTCAGCCTAATAATCCAAGAGAAACACAGCTGAATGACACTGAACAAGAAAACTGGAGCATTAAATCCTACAGTAAATCTGAATGAACCCAAGCAGCTTCATTTAAATACCAGCGATTCTAACTGAAACAACATGGCTCCTCGCCTTCATTAGCTGATCGGAGTCTGTCATTCTAGAGACATTTTCCTTTTCTGCGATGGGATAAAGATGGAAGGGTTCACTTCTAAACGGATTATGATGGTTGTTCAAACAAAGTGATGCACAGTTTGCTTTTTTAGGAGGACATGGAGCAATTAACCCAACTGAAGGAGCAGTCCAACCACACATAGTTGAAAGCGGTTGAGTTTGGTTTGATCTTGCGTCTCATATGAGCATGTGTCTGGCCGACAGCTGTCTGCATGTAAAATTCTGAAGAATATGCCATCCCATTCCACACTATTCCATCCTGACATGGGAATATGTCTTATAAATATCTTAAAGTGTGTGATCACATGACAGAACAATCACAGACATAAACAGACTCCTATATACACAACAGACCTAGACATTCCCTAACGATATCCTATAATCTAGGTGCTTAAAGCAAAACCACAACAACCAATCAGTTTAACGCACACACAAACATACACAGTCACCCAAAGGGCCTTTATAACCCCTTATCTGGTACCTTTACTTTCTAATTAGTGTATCTGACCTCCCACAACTATCTCTGTGGTTAAAAGTCTCAGATAAGACGTAAATGCAAGTAAGGCACAGTCTCGGAAACTAAAGTTTTTTAAGGCCCAATATTTGTTCCCCAAAACTGACCTTTTACCTTTATGAGGACATTTTCCCCAAAACTTTTAAAGACAAACACAATACAAATACTTAATATTTATGAAACACTTAATATAACATAAATGTTATAATATATATACAATTAATTTATTATAAATACTTCAATAATCATATTAAATTTGATAAGAAATGAATTTAATATAATGAAATATATCAAATGTAAAAAAAAAATAAAAAAAATAAACCTAAACAATATCATGTAATTATAATGCATTTTTGTCCATTTTGGGCTTTTATATTTTTTATATTTTGGGCTTTTTTGAGACTTTCAGTGGCATTTTTGCTCAAGATCCAGGTCAATTTCTGACCCTAGTGATAAATAAATATAATAGAAAGTCTTAATGTCTCTTTTTCTCCACACACACACACGCACAAACGCACACACACACACACACACACACACACACACATGCTTGTGTATTTTAACACAGACTTGCTAAAGGACACCACCTGGCAACCTTCTGTCAGCCTAATAATCCAAGAGAAACACAGCTGAATGACACTGAACAAGAAAACTGGAGCATTAAATCCTACAGTAAATCTGAATGAACCCAAGCAGCTTCATTTAAATACCAGCGATTCTAACTGAAACAACATGGCTCCTCGCCTTCATTAGCTGATCGGAGTCTGTCATTCTAGAGACATTTTCCTTTTCTGCGATGGGATAAAGATGGAAGGGTTCACTTCTAAACGGATTATGATGGTTGTTCAAACAAAGTGATGCACAGTTTGCTTTTTTAGGAGGACATGGAGCAATTAACCCAACTGAAGGAGCAGTCCAACCACACATAGTTGAAAGCGGTTGAGTTTGGTTTGATCTTGCGTCTCATATGAGCATGTGTCTGGCCGACAGCTGTCTGCATGTAAAATTCTGAAGAATATGCCATCCCATTCCACACTATTCCATCCTGACATGGGAATATGTCTTATAAATATCTTAAAGTGTGTGATCACATGACAGAACAATCACAGACATAAACAGACTCCTATATACACAACAGACCTAGACATTCCCTAACGATATCCTATAATCTAGGTGCTTAAAGCAAAACCACAACAACCAATCAGTTTAACGCACACACAAACATACACAGTCACCCAAAGGGCCTTTATAACCCCTTATCTGGTACCTTTACTTTCTAATTAGTGTATCTGACCTCCCACAACTATCTCTGTGGTTAAAAGTCTCAGATAAGACGTAAATGCAAGTAAGGCACAGTCTCGGAAACTAAAGTTTTTTAAGGCCCAATATTTGTTCCCCAAAACTGACCTTTTACCTTTATGAGGACATTTTCCCCAAAACTTTTAAAGACAAACACAATACAAATACTTAATATTTATGAAACACTTAATATAACATAAATGTTATAATATATATACAATTAATTTATTATAAATACTTCAATAATCATATTAAATTTGATAAGAAATGAATTTAATATAATGAAATATATCAAATGTAAAAAAAAAATAAAAAAAATAAACCTAAACAATATCATGTAATTATAATGCATTTTTGTCCATTTTGGGCTTTTATATTTTTTATATTTTGGGCTTTTTTGAGACTTTCAGTGGCATTTTTGCTCAAGATCCAGGTCAATTTCTGACCCTAGTGATAAATAAATATAATAGAAAGTCTTAATGTCTCTTTTTCTCCACACACACACACGCACAAACGCACACACACACACACACACACACACACACACACATGTATACATAAAAACAGCTTACCCTGCAGGTCTGTGAGGGTCTTGGTAGAGCTCTGCCGGCACTGATGCCATTGGTGCTTTCAATAGTGTCATTTTGGAGGTTGGAAACATTTATTTGTGGTGCATCCCTGTGTAAAACCGCCACCCAGATACAGCGAGGTTCTGGAGAGCTGCAGTCCACCCCTACCGCATCCTGAAAACACCACTCCTTACCCCCTACACGCGGGCACACAGCAGGCATCGCCAACGGCACCTGACCGGCTGACCACATCACACATTAACACGCACGGGAGTGTGCAAGGGCTCACAAAAGGACGAGTCGCAATCACAAAGGAACCATTAAGACCTTTTGATGTGGGAACAAAAAAGAAGAATCTGACAACCAGAAATAGGGAAAAGTTAAAAACTACAAGTCAGCTTAAAGATGTGTCCGTTCTCTCCCAAAGAGAAGAGAAATTCCAGATGTGGTTTCTGTTGAACATGCCCAAATCTCCTCATATTTCATTAATCCATGCTGGTGAAACTTCTTAAAGGATTTCAGGGAAAAGTTAAAAACTACAAGTCAGCTTAAAGATGTGTCCGTTCTCTCCCAAAGAGAAGAGAAATTCCAGATGTGTTTTCTGTTGAACATGCACAAATCTCCTCATATTTCATTAATCCATGCTGGTGAAACTTCTTAAAGGATTTCGGAGTTAAACTGATAGTTCCATATCACACCGGTGAACTCTGCACCTCCCATGCTCACGCACACACACTCAGATGACTGTTACGACCACAGAGGCATATCCAGAGATGAGAGTGATCCAGGATGTAGCAACATACCCGTCTGGCAGACCCACAGATTTCTGTGTGTGTGTGTGTGTGTGTGACAAGCACGTGGCAGTGCTGGCAAGATGTAGATCCAGGGAAGCCGGCTGCAGGATGGAAAAATTCATTAAATCCAAGTTTTTTCTGCATCAGTTTTCCTCCTCTTACTTGCTTCAGTCTTTTTCTTCTATTCCTTCACTTTTTTAACCATTCAGCTCCCCTCTGTCTGTCTCTCTCTCTCTCCACTCTGTCATCTCCTGACAAACTCTAAACTCTGTCTCTATGAGTGGGCCGGCCCTCCTGCTTTTCTTTTGCTTGCTGTCTCCTTCTCTCTCTCTCTCTCTCTCTCTCTTTCTTATTCATTCAGGTATCTTTCTGTTTATCACTCTTTCCTGTCTGTATCTGTTTGCTGCTCACCAGTTATTCTTTATCTCGCATGCATACTCTCATATGCCTATTTCTACTCTTTTTAAATGACCCACAAAATCAAAATGAGAGTTTTGTTGCTTTTAGTCCATGTCTGTTAGCCTTGAGGTCATGTTCAATCCAGTTTACCAAGCCGGTTTTCAAGCAAGACTTTTTCTTCCGGAACATTCACTATTAATCCTGATGACTCATCCTGCATTGTACAGAATTCCATCCAATCAGATGCTCTTTAGAATGAGAATGCCCCGCCCTCTAATACAAACTGCAACTCATTTTCAGCTAATAATTTTTTTTAACCCTCCTAAACTTTTTCAAAAAATTGACAAGGTGTGACATTTTTTTTATAATGACTGACTCATCAAGTCCTTTTTTGTTGTTTTTTTCAGATTGCATATTTAAAATAGTCACCAAGTTTAAATGAAATCAGCCAAAAATGGCTGCAAAGGTTATAACTAAGGGTTAAAAAAATCCCTTCAATATGTAATTAAACTTACTCAAACCCAAAACTGTAGGCTTCATTTTCTTTTTGCCATCTCTATCCCTCTGGCTCCTTCTCTTTCTTTATCACTGTCATTTCTACAGTCTCTTTTGCCTTTTGCCCCTCAGAGCTCTCCGATTTCTGTATTATCTAATCTTTCCACTTCATCTTTTTCACTCAATCTTTTGCTCCATCAAGCAAAAGATATGAAAAGAAATTCTGAAGCCATCAGACAGTACAAAAAAAAGTCCATGTAGTCCATGCTGTAGCTCTGCTGAAACTGCCGAAGCCCCCAGCAGTTCTGAAAGACCATTCGACTGTGTGTGAAACAGGAATCAACAGAGCAATGCAAAACCCCCCGCTCTCTAAAAGTCCCCTCAGAGAAAGAGCAAAATAATGGCTACACTAGCAAACACAATGAGCCAAAAAAAAAAGTCTAAAAAGGACAGAAAAACAGTGCATATTGCTACAAACTATAAAAAGCACAAATGGAGGAATGACCACTATGAGAAAGAAAAACCAAAAGACTTAAGAGAGAAACCCAGAATGGCAGACAAAAACACGGTGCCAGACACCTCACTGCAGCTGCTCTCTGGACTAAAACAGCTGCTATAAAACAACAGACACACACACACACACAATCATACCAATACAACACACGACATGCACAGTAACATATCATTTATCAGGTCACATACTGACACTAACACACACACATCCGTTGAAAATCTCACCCAACAGGCAGGTCTCTGGTGTGTGTGAGAGTAGCAGGCAGCAGGCCATTGATGAGACATTCCCTCTCATTCAACTCCACAAAACACACACACCTGAGATCCGTTACAAATGAGGATGAACTGGTTTCACCTGCTGCACTGTTAGACGTGTACCGGCATGACAACATACAGCCAGAACATGTACACAACACACACACGGTTTATCACGCCAGGTGAAGGTGTCATGAATAGACTGAAGAATAAGTGACTGTGAGTCACATAAATGCTTCATATTTTATGTCTAAACACAAAAGATACGTATGACCTTAAATATCCTTTTGTGTGGCATAGAAAGCTTTAATTGAGCAAACACACACACACACACACAGTCTGGTTCACTATCCTTGTGGGGACTCCCCATAGGCGCCCCATATGGTTTTTATACTGTACAAACTGTATTTTCTATCGCCCTACACCAACCCTACCCCTCACAGAAAATGTTGTGCATTTTTACAAATCTCAAAAAAACTCATTCTCTATGATTTATAAGTTTTTGTACCCATGGGGCCCTCAATTCAGTCCCCACTAGTGTAGAAAACCTGTACACACACACAAACAAACACACACACATGCCTGAGGTGTGTTGGGGATGAAAACGCATAAGCTCTAGTAATTAAATATGAATATCAAGACTTCCTGCAGTCTAATCTGAAGCTCATCCTCCTTTTCCTTACCCCTGTATGAGCTAAACAGAACAATAACAATAAGCAAAAAAAAAAAAGGAGAGAGAAAGATCTCACTCAGATTTGCCAAGACTTTAAGTTAATATGAACTTTGATTTTAAGTTAATATGAACTTCCCATTAATTTTTTTCCCATAAGAATTTATTTGAGCTATGCAATCCACATGAATTTGTGTGTCAACAATTCCAGAAGAAAATTTGTATTGCTCTGAGGTTGGTCTTTTTAAAGCCCAGAAGACAAAAAACATGATAGAGAAGATGTATCATCGTTGCCGCAAATCTCTTAACCTTCTGGTGGTCTTCAGTTATTTTAGACAGATTTTGTTGTATTTATTTATTTATTTATTTTTACTTCATCGAAATGCCACAAAACTAGGTGGCTTTTGCTGCACTTGCCATATAAACACACACACAAAAATCATAATAAAAGTAACACTTATGATACAGTTCCATAGGAAATGAATGGGAAATACAAAAAAAATTAAATAAAAAATACAGAGCAACATTTGTGGGTACAATCTACAGATCATGTCTGTTTATAAAATTAAATTATGTCTGAAAATACTCAACTAGGGAATACACTCTTCTAGTGGTAACATCATGGTATGACATATGATTTTCTTTATTTCTCCCACTAGATGGCACTAACCAATCTGCCTTCCATGCACTGGATTTCAAATACATTTTTAAGTTAAACACTGTATTAATTGATAGTAAGTTTAATATTTTTTTTTCGTAATAATTGTATTATTTCATATAGAAATAAATGGTGCATAATTTAGAGGTGAATATTGTCTACTAGTACCATGAAACCCCTCAAAATACAATATATACACATACATACGTTCATCAGTGCATTCATTCAATTATGAAAATATGTTACACTTATTGTTTTTAGCCTGTTTTGACCCTGAGGATCACAAGTATGACCCCTAAATGAGGGACACGAGAGGGTTAACATTCCTAAGGAGAAATAAAAATAGAAACAAATTAGACAGTTGACAACAGTCAACATTTGAGCTCCATTTAATTTCATTTATTAAAATCAATAAGCCAATACTTATTTTCATGTTACGACCAATAACTGATAAATATAACACACAATATAATTCCATACCAATTTGTATCTATATTGCTACATGCAACTCACTCCGATATGTGCACTTAAAGGGTTAAACCTTTGCCATAAATCCATCACCATCTCTTTAAATTAGTGATGATCTGTCTTAAAACAAGTGGAAACATATATTCAATATCGGCAGATAAATATCCATTAAAGTCCGATAGCAGTAAAATAAATAAATAAATAAATAAAAACACCGATATGGTGGCAACTTTTTGTGCATCCATAAAATGGAACTCAACAGAGTCATTTCTGAGAAATACTGTATATTTTTCTTCTGAGCCACTTTATCTACAAAAACACAAACAGCACTGTAGAGCCCTCATGTTTAAATAGACTGGAGCTGTGAAAGCTATACGTGAGCGGCAGATGTTTGATCTGCACATGCTCTGATATGAGCTAATCCCTTTCATCCTCATACAAACATGGCTGATTCATTTATCAAAACATACAGATGGAACAGATACTCTAAACCAGAGTAACTCAGCTCATGGGTCACATATCTCTTCTGATAGTCTCAAAAAATGCTTTATGCAAAAATATATCTTCATAAAAGTACACATGCACGCTCATTAATGCACTTTAAAAAAAGGACGTAGTCTGTCCCCTGCTGGTCACATGAGAATAAACAGTCCACATTCATACACACTGGCACTAAAGTATGAATGAATGAGAGCTGCAATAACAAGCGCCAAGCTAAGATCAGTTCAAACAGAACAAAATAAACACATACACATCTGTATGTGTATAAAGTGTGCTGATATTGAGTATCAGCTGTTTAAATGAGGCCTCGGTGAGCATATGGCGATACAGAGACAGGAGATCATAGGAGATCTGTCAACACCATTTGGTCCCAAGGCATTAGATAGTAGAACACAGTCTAGACCAACTTTAATCTGACTTTCCTGAGTGTGTGTGTTTATGTGTGGTATTTTGTGTGTGTGTGTGTGTGTGTGTGTGTATGAATAAAAAAAACTACTCTGGTAGTTTAAGCTGGTTAATTTTAGCTGTAATCCTCTGCAAAGCCATTGACCAATAGGCTGCAGACCTGAAGCAAAACCAATGGGTTGTAGTGTGATTAAACCACCAACAGATGGCAGCACTACAGCACAAGAGTGTTTCAGAATTTAAGTGTTTACATATAGGCTGTGCCTGAAACCAACGGCACATTTAAATCAAAACCTATTTGCTAATCTATCTACTAAAATACCTCCAAGTTTTTT